GAAATGGAAAATGAGATTCTTATGCTTCAATATGGACAAATGGAATATGCCTTAAGAATTAGAGGTCTGGGAGAGTCTTTGCAAGGAGATCTGAAGGAGATGGTTGCAAAGGACTTTGCATTGATTTTGAATAAAGAAAAAGAGGGAATACTTAATGAAATTGAAAAATTATTTAGGGTTAACTCTGTGGTGGCAGCACAGAAGAATCTGCCAAGAGATGTGGTAATTTACTTTGGTAAAAGATCTTTACGCAATGAAATTGTGCAAGCCTATTATAAGAAGAGATTTCAAATTGCTTCACAAGATGTTATAATTTTTAAAGAGATCCCATCTAAAATTTTAAGAAGAAGAAAGGAGTTTGCTTTTTTAGCAAATGAACTTAAAAAGAGAAAAATTTCATTCAGATGGGATGTTCCGATTGGAATGGTGGTGAATTACCTGGGGACATGTTATAGACTTAATACTGTTTCTCAAGCAAAAGATTTTTATACTTCGGTCCTGGGGGTATGTGCATCGCCATCAATTAAGTTTAAAGCTTTGGAAGAAAAGAATGTAGAATCACAGTTTGAAGAGCCTATATTTATGAAAACTGGAGAATCTTTGTGTGAGAGGCCTCAACAAGTCCAGGTTGAGGAGCAGAAGACAACTTGTGCAGTATATAATCCCAAAGAAAAGCAGCAACAGAAGAAGGTTAAGGAAGTTTCATATTTAGTGGTTTCTGAATCTCTGGGAGATGTTAGACCTACAAAGTCTTTGGAGCAATCTTTAAGGGTGGAATTGTTGCCTGAAATGGAAACTGGGAAATCTCAGTCTGAGGGGCATCAACAAGAGAGGAACGGGCAGAGGATAACTTGTACAACTTACAATTGTAAAGATCAATACAAGGAGGAATTTAAGGAACCCTTATTGGCTTCGGAGTCGATGGGAGATTCAGGAATTTTGGAGCAGTCTCCTAAGGCAGAACTTGCAGCATTTCTTACGAGTTTGATACAAGAATGGAGAAGGGAAATGGAAGAATGGAAGAATGGAGAATGGAAAAAACTGGAATGTGAATAATTAATAATACTAATATAATTGAGATTGATAAGGATGTAGTTTTTTACGGATGGAATTAGTTATTGGTGAAGATTGAAATGTTTAATGTGTTTATTAACTTTGTTGTTTTAAGTTTTGAACCTTTAATGATAATATTGTTTAAATTTGTGTTTTGAAGGGATTATAATTTGCTTATTTTAGTGAGTGGATTCTAATATTTTAAATTTTAAAAATTTGTGGTTTTGGAGGGAGTTTATATAGAGTGATGATTGTATTTAGATTTGTTTAGGATTTAAAAGTGTTTTTAGTTTTTAAATATTATTATTAATATTTTTAAGACAAAATAATTTGTTTAATTAAATGTGCTTAGATTTGTTTAGGACTTATAGGTTTTTTAAGTTTTTGTTTTTTGTTTTTTTTTTTTTTTTTTTCTTTTTGGATAGGAGAGAAGATTATGAAGATTGAAGGAAATATGTACTTACTTTAAGTTCTTTAAGAGTATTTAGCTTTAATGGTATAACAAAGATTTGTATGTTTATTTTTTCGTTTTAGGATAAAGAAAGAGGGAGAAATTAGATTTTATATTATAGATATAGATATTCAAAGAAAGTAATGTTTAAATTTGTGTTTTTGGAGGGAGCTTATATAGAATGATGATTGTATTTAAATTTGTTTAGGTTTTAAAAGTGTTTTAAGTTTTTTTTTTTTTTTAATTAAGCCTGTACTCAGCTCTGGGAAGTCCAGGGGAGGGTTTGGGAGGTTGGGAAGGGGGGGGGTGAGGTAGGGGGGGGTATGGGAAGGGGATTTGTTTTTGTAAAATGTAAAAATTTTCAATAAAAAAAAAAAAAAAAAAGAAAAGGCTCTTCTCCTGGACTTCACCAGACAAACTTCCTTGGCTGATGGGGTCTACAGTAGGCTCCTTCTGCCAGCATGAGTGGGGCAGGTCAATCCCATTGCGGAAAGATGCTTTCTCAGATATTCAATTCAATTAACAGAAAGATGGTAGAAGATAACTTTATTAGAAGAGGGAAGGTTTGCTGATGCTACTTCCCTCTACAGCAGTGGTTCTCAACCTTTTTAATGCCGCGACCCCCAACCGGTCGTAAGTCGAGGACTTCTCAACTGGCGCAGCATCATTTGCAGAATGGGACTTTTGGTGGGCTCAGCAGGGCAGAGACAGCCTGGACAATTCCTATTGGCTTTTGAAAGCCAATAGAATTAGACTCTATTCAAGAGAGTCTATTCTATTGGCTTTCAAAATCCAATAGAATAAAAGGGAGTAGCACAGCTAAGGAAAAGGGGAAAAAATGGCGGACTGCATTGTTTGGCGACCCCCATGAAATGGTCGTTCGACCCCAAATGGGGTCCTGACCCACAGGTTGAGAACCACTGCTCTACAGCATTCTGCTCCAGAGTTTTAGGCAATCTCTGGAATAGCTCCTAATTGTAGAGACTGCAGGAGAAAATAAAATATTCCTCCTGTCAGACCTGCCCCAGTCAGATCCCTTAGGAAAAAAGACTGTGTTTGGTTGACGTTATAGGTTCTTTTATTAGAGGTTGCTAGCTGCAGTAAAGCCAGGCTAGAACTAAGGTTCCTGTGCAAAAGCTTACAAACTTTTCCCCTTCATAGCAGATCTCCCCCCCTTGACCAGTTCGTCTTCAGCCAATAGCAAGCTGTATGAATATTTTAAGAACCTCTCAGGATGTTTGGAGCAATCCACATTCCATTCTCAAGCTTCATGGACTCGAAGGCTGGTTTCTTGTGTCCTTGGTCTCTGTCAAGCTGTCATCTCCCCTCCCTTTTCCCCACCTATGCCCCATGCATGTTTATTTCCCACTTGCTCTTCTGCTGCCCCCTGAAGCTGATGGCAGGATGCCAGCGAGGCATGAAGCCAAAGATGGCAGAGCTGACATCTCTGTTATTCCCAGAGAAGCCTTGACTAGATCAAATATACTTCTGCCACAGGAAGAACTTGCATGTGTAAAGAGTATTTTTTTAAAAAAAATATTCCTCTCTTTTTTTAATTTGAAAAAAAGAGTTCAGCAAATAAAACTTCTCCAACCTGAATAAAAGCCAGTTCGTTCTCTGTTTTGGTTGGACCTGAAAGATTATTAAAATCAAGATAAAATTTAGAGAACCCATCTGGTTCCTGGGCTTTCCAGACTAGCTTGGAGGTCTGCTTTGAGTTTCACTGGGCCCCAATCGCCAGTCGTTACTTCTCCAAGAAAAATAAGGGTGTGTTAAAATTACTTTTGTAGAGATTAAAAGATTTTGATAATTATAACTCTACCGCAAGGATGGGTTGATAACCCACCTATTTTATCTTCCCAGAAGCCCAAGATCAGGCTGTCAGCTTGTTCTGGCAAAATAGTCAAATTTTATTAAGATTTTTGTTTGTATTTGTTTGTTTAGTGGATTCCCCATTTTTTTTCCAGCTTAATTAGAATGCTGATAAGCCATCAGTATGATTGTGTTCTCTTTTGAACAAATTTAAGCTGAACGTTCTGTACTGAAAACAGATGGATCAACTCAGGAATGCAAAGCCAGGCATAATGGTGACTATTTCAACGGCAAAATTAGAATCCCTATTTGTACTGATCCAGTGCAAGTAATTCTCGACTTAGGACCATAACCGAGCCCAAAATTTCTGTTGCTAAGTGAGGCATTTGTTCAGTGAGTTTTGCCTCATTTTATGACCTTTTTTCCACAGTTGTTAAGCAAATCACCGCAGTTAAATAAAACATAAGGGTCGTTAAGGCAATCTGGCTTCCCCTATTGATTTTGCTTATCAGTGGTCGGTTGAAAAGGTTACAAATGGTGAACACATGGCCATGAGACAGTGCAACTGTCATAAATACATGCTGGTTGCCAACCACCCAAAATTTTGATCACATGACCCTGGGCATGCTCCAGCAGTCATAAGGGTGAGAAACGGTCATAAGTCATTTTTTCCAGTATTGTTGCAACTTTGAATGGTCACTAAACAAAAGAACTGATATGTTCACTGTTTAACAGCTGAGCCATCATATTTTATATCAATGGAAGCTTTTGGACTTTGTTATTACTAGCATCAATACCTCTCTGAGAAGATTTCCACTATCTTAGTTGGACTGTAAGAAACTACACCTTTGCCAGTTCAGCCAACATTACCACCACAAAGTGTTTTGGGAACAGGAAATGTGAGGTCCTAGCGCAGTGGTGGTGAACCTATGGCATGTGTGCAAGAGGGGGCACTCAAAGCCCTCTTTGTGGGCACGTGCACCTTTGCCCCAGCCCCTCCTGCGGCCCCCTCACCAGCAACCCCCCCAGAGGAGAGTCGCCCCTGGGTGTGGCCCACGTAGAGTAGTGCAGCCAAGGACATGGCAGCCAGGCAGCGGGGACAAAACTCTCCCCTTGAGCCCCATCACACGCAGATGATGCTACAAGGCATGGCTGGAGGGCATGGCTGCCATGGCACTGCAGGGCTACCTGGGCAATTGCTGCGACGGGCTGTGGAGGCAGTAGATGGCTCTGCGGGTGGCGGGGTGGGGGCCAGGGGGCAGAGTCGGGGTGGGTCAGGGTGGGCGGGGGCGGGGCGGGTTTTGGGCACTCGGTCTCTAAAAGGTTCACCATCACTGTCCTAGCATATCATGCTAAATCCTTTTTCTTCTCTTTACTTTTTCTGAAATAAATGACATATCTCTAATAACATTTTGCTGCTTGTTTTTAATATTTAATGTAGGAATATGGCACAAGGTTGTGTTGAATGTGTTACAGTAGAAGTCTTTATTTATTTCCCACCTTTATTGTTTTTTTTAAATTGAGGCAGCGAACACACCTAATACCCCTTCCTTCTCCTATTTGCCTTGCAACAACAACCCCCATAAGGTGGATTGAACAGAAAGAGAGGGACTGATCTAAGGTAACCCAGCTGGCTTATTTTTATAATCTGTACAACTTACTTAGCTGTATTGTATATTTGCAGTGCGGGATGCAAGAAATCTAATCCCTATGGATCCTAATGGACTCTCAGACCCGTATGTTAAACTGAAACTTATTCCAGATCCTAAGAATGAAAGTAAACAGAAGACAAAAACCATCCGCTCAACACTCAATCCACACTGGAATGAGTCCTTCACATTGTAAGTTGCGTTTGGATACTTTGCTTAGCCCTATTACAGTGACATTTTGTTGTATGAATGCCTAAATAAGCTAACTTATTTTTCTGTTCATAGTAAATTAAAGCCCACAGACAAAGACAGGAGATTATCAGTGGAAGTCTGGGATTGGGATCGAACCACCAGGAATGACTTCATGGGATCTCTTTCTTTTGGGGTGTCGGAACTGATGAAGTCACCAGCTTGTGGGTGGTAAGACATCTTTGTAACCTTTGACTATTTAACATATTAACCATAAATTCTATTCAGTTGTTGAAATGCTTTGTCGCGGTGTCAGTTAGATAGTTACAGAATGTGTAATTATTAGCTTGTAAGAATTGGAAAGCAGAAAAGTTGCTGAGTTTTGAAATAATACTTCAGTCAGTAACTTGCTTTGATGTAGAAACAGCATCTTTTTTTTTTCAGTTGGTTCCCCAAAGGGCAGAAGAAGCCAAGGCAATGATACAACCCTCTTACTGGTTTCTCCGGAAGGGATGAAGCAGCATTCAAACCAGCTGCCTACTTAGCATCCTCTGTGCTAATGTCTTACTGCAGGCAAATGCTGCACTTTTGAAGATTATTTACCATTATTTATTAAGGAGAGCCTGTTTGGCCTCAGTAAATTTAGAATACTAGGACTGTCCACTGCTTCCTATTTCTGGTCTTTTCTTCTTCTGAAAAAAAAATGGCCTGCATTCAGATAGGAAGACTAAAATGCATAAAACAATTCTTTTTGTATATCTCAAATTATTTTCCTCATATTGTTCAGGTATAAATTACTTAACCAGGAAGAAGGCGAGTATTATAATGTGCCAATACCAGAAGCTGATGACGCTGGAAATGCAGAACTCAGACAGAAGTTTGAGGTGAGAACATATTATTGGAGTCAGTATAAGAGGTATTCCTGTGTTTAGAAAAGTACATGTTTAGTGTTTAGAAAAGTACATAAGAGTCTGTTTAGGAGTCCATTCTCGCATCTCAGAAGTTTTTCCTGTAGAAATACTACCTAAAAAATAAACATTTCAGTACCTCTGGTCCCATTAGGCAACACTGTTCTTTGCTAGCCAGCAATTTGCCATGATTCTATTGCTTTCAGTAAGTTGATAACTCGCATTTAATATCAACATAAATTTTGTCACCTGTTATATTGATAAATTACACTTAAATAGTAAGTATGCATTCAGATTTGCAAAAAGATGTGACATATAGAGGTTTGTGTCAGTTTCTGCTCATTTACAAATTCATTTGCCCCGGAGAGCCTAAATGTTGCTTTCAACTGCAGTCTACGGAACCCAGTTAAATGTGTCGTAAACATTATTTTTCAATCGATTGGACAAGTTTGACTTTAGTTTACTTAGGGGTACGTGCACAAAACATGTAAATACTCAGTCACTACACTTGTTTCTGGTTTAAATTAATGCTGTTCTAATTAATGTTTAATTAATCTGACTTACTACCAATTTTCAACTTGTGGCACTCTCATTCTAGCACTCTGTATTCGTGTTTCACAGCTCAGAGTTGCTGAGTTGTGGGGTCATTTTACTGCACATTTGTGCCCGGAATGGAAGCAAGCATGCAAAGATGTATGGTGTTGTGTCCTGAGCCTGCAAAAGCAGGTTCGGGACGTTGCATTGTTCCTGGACATTCCAAAAGCTGCCCGGGACCAGACAGAGTGGCGCCAGCCTTGCGCACATGCGCAAGACGCTAAAACGCTCTGTTTCTATTGGTTGACATTGTCCAGGTTTCTGGCCATTTAAAAAGGCCTGCGTGCCTTTTGCTTTTGCTTTGTTGTTGTAGAAGGAGAATAAAGTGTTTGTTCAGCATCGCCATGTGTCTTCATCATTCACACGCAAACAAAATACACAACACTGGCGATGAGGATGGGATTCTTTGCAAGCTGGAACAAAAGATTTGAGGACTTACCCAGGAAGTCCTGAAGAGGGGAAGACGGCATCTGAATCAGCATCCCAGTCTGCCAGTACAGCATCACTGGAGGTTGAGCTCGGCTAAAGGACCCTTTCCACAACAGCAGCTTGTAGAGGAAGCGAGTGGTGAAGGTCGTAAAGCTTACCATGTCGAAGATTGGCCGATTGACTGATTTCGATGTCTCCCACCCAGAGAGATGGAATTCCTACGTAGCATGGGTGGAGAATTACTTCCGAGTAAATCAGATTAGAGAAGACGGCCTGAAGGCAGCAACTCTTTTGTGTGCCTGTGGACAAGAAGCTTTTGACATCGCAGAAAATCTGGTGGCCCCTGCACCTCTGGAGTCAGTAACATATGCTGACTTGAAGAAAATGTTGAAGGAACATTATCTGTCATTGCTTGGAGGCACGCGTTCGAGCAGAGAGACCAGAGGCCAGGTGAATCTGCTGCGGAATTTATTGCAGCCTTAAGGCAAGCAACCAGACCTTGTGAGTTCAAGGATCTGGAAGAGAGGCTGCGAGATTGTTTTGTCTGTGGCTTGAGGAGCAGAGACTTGAAACAAAAGATTTTTGCAAAAGAAGATGTCTCCTTCCAAGATGGATTGCGAGAGGTGGCAGCTGAGGAAGCAGCAGGCGGAGCTGTGAAGGCCTTGCACCTCGCCAGGATTCCTCCAGACACAGCTACCGTCCATCAAGAGGACGCTCAAGAAGGATCAGAAGAGGATCCTGAAGAGGAGGTCGACAGACTTCACCAACCAGCTGAGAGGAGGCAGAAGGGACGTCCAGTCAAGGCCCCAGCATCTCTTCAATGCTTCGGATGCAGAGGACGCCACAAGCGAGCTGACTGCAGGTTTCGCTCCGCTATTTGCAGGGTGTGTGGCAGGCAGGGCCACATTGCATCCATCTGTTTGGGTCGCCAGAAGGTTCAACCTCGGGAAGAATTGCTTCAGAAAGGTACCAGGGTCCCCAGCCAAAACAGGGTGGATTTCTATGCATCGCGCAGGAACATTCTAAGAACAGGGACACACAAGCCCCTTAAGAAGAAACTTTCCATTAACGTAAGGACTGATGGAGTTGGACACTGGGCCTGCTCTTTCCATTATTTCAATTAATACCTTTAAAAGGATTTGCAGCAGTAGTGGCCTTCGAGTTAAACTCAGGCCATCAAATCTAATACTCACTGATTTTCAAAATTCTATGGTGTGTGTTAAGGGGGAGGCCACCATTAGGATACAGTATAAGAATTTTGAAGGTTCCCTAGATGTGGTGGTTGTTGGGGGTGAATGTATGAGTCTTATTGGACTCGATTGGTTCGAGGCTCTGGGAATCCAGGTAACTGGGCTGCACAGCTTGCAAACGCTGGGCCTTGCAGAGGTTTGCAAAGAGTTTGCAGATGTGTTTAGTTCAGAGCTAGGTTCCTACAAGGGGCCTCCAATTTCGCTACAGTTAGACCCAACCATCACGCCCATCAGGGTTAAGCCTAGAAGGGTACCTTTTGCCCTCAAAGGTAAGATTGATGCTGAGCTGGACAAATTGCTCCAGCAACCTGTGGATTCAAGTCCATGAGGCTAATGGGGACATACGTATATGTTCAGACTATAAATGCACACTGAATAAGGCACTGCAACAGCATTCTTATCCAGTGCCTGTGGTAAGTCACATTCTGGCCTCCCTCAAGGGGGGGGCGCGCATTTTTGCAAAGCTTGACCTGGCACAGGCCTATCAACAGCTACCTGTTGATGAGGCAGCTGCAGAGGCCTAGACTATTGTAACTCACAGGGGGGCCTTCAAGGTCAAGAGACTGCAATTTGGGGTAAATGTAGCTCCTGGCATATTCCAAAGTGTCATGGAGAGCACACTTCAAGGTATTCCTGGGGTCTGTCCCTACTTCAATGACGTCCTCATTGCTGGGGAGTCATCTCAAAATTTAGCAGAAAGATTAAGGGCTGTCTTGCTTCGTTTTCGAAAAGCAGGCCTTAAACTAAAGAAGGATAAATGTAAGATAGGAGTCACTTCTACTGACTTCTTAGGATTCAGGATTGATGCTCAAGGCATTCACCCTGCTGAAACTAAATTGCAAGCTATCCAGCAGGCTCCAAGCCCTAAGTCTAAGAGTGAGCTGCAAGCCTTCTTGGGGCTATTAAATTTTTACCATGCATTTCTCCCACATAAAGCTGCAGTGGCAGAGCCATTACACAGGCTCTTAGACAAGCAGTCTCCTTGGTAGTGGACTAAACTCCATGACAAAAGTTTCAATGAGGTTAAGGCCTTGCTCACTTCTAATGCTGTTTTAGCGCATTTCAATGAGCAACTGCCTGTTTGCATCGCCTGCGATGCATCTCCTTATGGGGTGGGAGCTGTATTGAGCCATCTGAAGGCTGATGGGACACAGGTCCTTGTGGCCTATTATTCAAGGACTCTGTCCTCTGCAGAGCGGAATTACGCTCAAATTGACAAAGAATCCTGGGCCATAGTGGCTGGCATTAAGAAATTTCATGATTTCTTATATGGCCGCCATTTCACGGTCTATACTGACCATAAGCCTCTGCTGGGTTTGTTTACCACTAACAAACAGACCCCACATATCATTTCTCCTCGTATGCTGAGATGGTCCATTTTTCTGTCAGCATATGATTATACATTGGTTCACAAATCTGGAAAGGAAATGGGTCATGCTGATGGCCTGAGCAGATTGCCATTGAACAAATTGGAGCCAGATCCTGCTCCAGCCATTAATATTCTTTCCATTCAGGAGTTGCCTGAGTCTCCTCTCAATGCTAGGGACGTGGCTGCAGAAACTGCCACTGATCACATGCTTACACGCGTGCTGACATGGGTGTTGTCAGGATGGCCTGACAAGTGCCCAGATACTGAGTTCCAAAGCTTCTGGCACAAGAAGCATGAGTTTTCCACTTTCAAAGGTTGCCTGTTATGGGGTAGCAGGGTAGTGATTCCAGCCTCATTGAGATCTAGAATCTTGATCTCTCTGCATGAGGGACCTCCTGGTATAGTCACGATGAAAGTGCTTGTGCGCAGCCATCTTTGGTGGCCTGGGCTCGATAGAGCCATCGAGACCCAGATGCACAGGTGCCAAATGTGCCAACAGTCTCAGCCTGAAATGCCTCAGGCCCCAGTACATAGGTGGGAGGAAACTCAAACCCCATAGTCTAAGGTGCATATACTGTAGATTATGCTGGGCCCGACAGTCAGCTGGGAGTCAGGTCGGCGTCCAGACGTCAGTGGGGAGCCGGTGGGTCAGCTACACATCACCTGGCTCCCAACAGCCAGCTGGGAGTCGGCCCAGCTTCCGAACTTCAGCTGGGAGTCGGCGGACCCACCATGCACTGCCCAGCTCCTGAAAACCAGTTGGGAGGTGGCCGAGGCTCTGCATGTCAGCCTGGCTCCTGGGAATCAGCTGGGAGTCGGCCGGGCTCCCGACCAGTGACTGGGAGTCGGCGAGGCTGCCAGACACCATGGGTGCCTCCCTCTAGGGGAAAGGACGGCGGAGACGTCCCCACTACCGGCTGGGCATTTGAGCTCACCTCAGCTGCCTCTCCCTCCCACCGGGCGCAGGGGAAAGGAGGCAGAGTGCTGCCGGGTTGCCTGATAGAACAGCTGGAACAGCGGAGGCTGCATTGGTGCATCTGGAGAGGGGAAAGGCGGACATTGAACTACGCTTTTTATCCATAAGGACCGGATGCTGGCTTGCTGATTGGGGTGGGGATGGTAGGCGGGGCACGTCTATGTAAAGCACTGGGAGCAGTTCATTCCCAGTGCTGACTTTTTCTTTGCATTAAAGTTTGCTGGTCACCTGTTCCTTCTTGTGTCTGGAGTTTGTTGGCAGCTGGCAGCGGGCCAAGTGCCCACCCAAACATCTGAGAGACTTTGTGAAGTTGCTGTCAAATCATGAGGGACCTGTTCATGAGTCGCCTGAATAACGG